TTTACTTGGACATTCTTGCATTTTAGTTTCTCCACCAGAATCACATTTTTCGTTTGGTACATAGTTTTTAGTAATTAGAATAACTATTTCTAACGTCATAACTAGGCAGTGAAACCTAATACAACTGGTTTGGGACATGGGGATTTCCCACCTCTCCAATGCTTTTGGAAACTCCCTCTCAGCCCAGAAGTAGGTCTTAGAAACACTACAACCTTGTTGCTGTACAAGGAGTACAAAAGAGACTATGGTGACTGCGAAATCTAGAGGTCAAAACAGACATAGTGCAAAAGACCCAATACCACAATAATATTTAGAAGTCTTGCTCCAAATGCGGATAGTTCTCTAAATTCAACGTCGATTTTTTAAAGTAGTTCTTTATTAATCTGCTTTTCTGTCTACCTGCAGAACGTCTGATCTTTTGACTGCTACAGCTTAGGATGGTTCTTGTTCAGTGGTTTTCTAAGTGTGGTTCCCAGATAGCAGCAGCAACATGACCTGGGAACTTCTCAGGAATGCAAGTTCCTGGGCCCCATCCCAGACCTGATTATTGTGTCAGAAACTCAAGGGGGTAGGTCCCAGCAATTTGTGTTAATAAGCCCTCCAGGTGATTCTGACGCATGCTGAAGTTTGAAAACTACTGTTTAAATTCAACATAATTCATTGTAGTTTAGGAAATTAAAACCCAGATATAAATGACTTAGGCCATAAAGCAAATAAGTGCTTGTAAATTTATTTACCAATCAATTTTCAGGGTGAACTGTTGATATGTAAAATTAATACTTTGTTTAATCATAATATGAAACTTATTTTCAAATTTTTCTTTATGATGTGCCTTCTCTAAGTTTTAAAAGTAATCATTTTATACTAAGTCATTGCAAAAGCCCCAAGTTTCACCTTAATGCATGCCTTGCTTCAATCATAAGTGTTTGGTGTACACACGCATGTAAAATATTTTCCTAGGGTCGGGCATAGTGGAACCCTGGCAGCAGACATTGCAGCGAGCCAAGACTTGTGCCACTGCACTCCTGCACTCCAGCCTGGGTGACAGAGTGAGACTTCATCCCCAAAAAAGAAAAAAAAAAAAAAAAAAAAAAAAAAAAAAAGCTCATATGGATAGGCTTAAGTTTTTCATTTGCAATTGGGCCGTTTATAGAATTTCTTCTGGGCTATATTTTATAATATTTTCCTAATTTTAAAAACTGTTCTTAAAGTGGGGGTGACTTTCTACCAAAGAAATCCCTTAGATTAAAATTTTGGGGGCAATACATATTTTTAATTTATTTACTCCTTATAACCTTTTGAATTGAAATATACTAATATGTATACAATCTACAGATTTAAGTACCCTGTTCAATGAGCTTCAACAACTGTACATACTCACGTCATCTTTATCCAAAACAAAATACAGAACATCTTCATCACCTCAGAAAATTTCTTTGTGCACCTTTGCAATCGCTTCTCACCCTGTCTCTCCCTGTTCAACCACTTCCAGACTTCTCCCATTATAGATCTGTTTTTCCTATAGTCTATTATTAGACTTAAGACGAGATCAGGTGTGTCCAAGTTAGTACAGCCGTAGACCTGTTGTTAGACTTCAAATAAATGGAATCACACAGATATTCTCATTTACATATGGCTTGTTTCACTTAAGATGGTTTCAAGATTCATCCATATCCCCTGTATCTGAGTTCATTCTTTTTGCTGCTGGCTAGTATTATATTGTATTGTATGAATACACCAAACTATGTTTTATGTACTTTTTCCTAGTAACAAATATTTTTTTCTTATCACAAAAGCAGTACTTACTGTAAGTTATGTAAAGTATGTAACACATAATGTAAAAAATTAGAGAAAATAAGGAAAAAAGAAAACATCCATAATTCTACTTTCTAGACATAACCATTACTAATAACTTCTGTACCCCTTTGAACTTTGGTTTATATAAATTATCTACTTATATATTTATCATATGTAGTATAAAAATTCTTATTTTAAGTTTAAGTTTTACTACTTAGACCCTGATATTAATGCGTTAAATTGGCAGTCCTTAGCTTTAACCATATTTTCTAAATTAAATAAAATCTAAAATTAATACCTGAATAAACATTCATTGTCCAAAATTCAAATGATACACAGTCTATAGAATAAAAAGTAAATGTCCTTGTACAGCCCCACCATAGGTAACCAATTCAATTGCAAACTTCTGACCACAGCATAATAAGGACCAAGAAGTGCAGAATTTATTATCACACAATTTTTCTCAGTTTTATTTTTAAATTTTTATTTTCAAGTTTTATTACCTCTATACCAGTGATCTTTTTGCTGGGAATACATTATTTTATAATTCCAAATGCTCAAATAGGAACTAATTTTAGTACAGTACCTTATATCCACTTTGAGATAGTTTCGAACTATTTTCTCTGGAAGTGAACAGAGTGCCATCTTCAAATTTCCTGATTGCTGAGTGGTTTATGCCCATCTGTTTTTGAAAGCCTAGATATGTATAGCTTCTCAGTATATTGATCTTTACTTACAGCAAATATATTCTTCAATGGCAAATTGCCTTTTCACCATTTGTATTGACCTGTATGTCTACACCAAGCTATCTATATACTGTCATTAAAATTTGGAGACTATCAATCAGATGCAAAATCCTTTTGAGGAACAGAGAATAATCCGAAGTATAATTCAGGGTTTGCTCTTGAAGAGCACTTTGTGTCATTCACATTTGCCTAACAGGAAAATGTGGCTTGCATTGACAGTAAAAAATGAACTCTTGATTATACTTAAGACTGGGTACAGCAGAGTAGTGTCTTGTCAGGCAGTCTGTCTTTTCATCAGTCAGGGTAAGTCCAGAAGCTCTTTGCTTTTCTATAGATCACCAAGCACGTTGCTTCTTTTCTTCTGACTTTCAAGTTCACGTACCTAGAAGCAGGCAAAAATGCAGCTGTAGTTTTACTTGAAATGCTTTTATATTCTCGGTTTTCGGGTCAGAATATACATATTAGATGAAATTACATATGCAAAATTCTATAGCCTATGATATTAGGCCATTCTTGCATTGCTATTGAGACCAGGTAATGTATAAGAAAAAGGTTTAATTGGCTCACAGTTCTTCAGGCTTTATAGGAAGCATGGTGCTGGCATCTGCTTGGCTTCTGGGGAGGCTTCAGGAAGGTTACAATTATGGTGGAAGCTGAAGGGGGAGCAAACAGGTCATATGACCAGAGCAGGAGCAAGGTGGGGTCATAGAGGCGCCACGAACTTTTAAATGACCAGATAACAGAAAAACTCACTATTGCAAGGGTAGCACAAACCCATGAGGGATCCACCCCCCTGACCCAAACACCTCCCACCAGGCCCCACCTTCAACATTGGGGATTACAATATGAAATTTGGTGGGGCCATATATTCAAATTATATCGCCTACTGAGCCCAAAGCTCTGACTGTCCTTCTCTCTTACAATGGAGCTACTAGACTTTGCCCTGATGATTAAGAGAACAATCCAATCTTATGCAGGCAGAGCCCCATAATGTTTTAAAATTACTTAAAATATTCCAATTCATATTAAAACAACATTAGCTATTATTTAATAAGCTAAACACAATTAAAGCGTTTCCTCAAAATCATCTCATTTAGTCTTTAGGAAGATGTTTGGGGGCTTATTATGAACTCTCATAGATGGCAGTTGGATATCTTCAAGCTTAGGAGTATGGGCTCTGTCCTGGGGATGAGGTTCAGAAAAACTTAGATGTTGCTGGCCTTAGCTTACAAGGTCAAAATTTAGCATGATTACAACTGGGAAATGTCCTGCTCTAGGGGACTGCAAGTGATTGTTGAGGTTGTTCCTCTTGTCATGTCTGAATGCCTCTCAGGCCAGGAAGAGAATTTTTTATTTTTTATTTATTTACTATTTTTTTGAGACTGAGTTTTACTCTTGTTACCCAGGCTGGAGTGCAATGGCGCGATCTCGGCTCACCACAACCTCCGTCTCCTGGGTTCAGGCAATTCTCCTGCCTCAGCCTCCTGAGTAGCTGGGATTACAGGCACGCGCCACCATGCCCAGCTAATTTTTTGTATTTTCAGTAGAGACGGGGTTTCACTATGTTGACCAGGATGGTCTCGATCCCTTGACCTCGTGATCCACCCGCCTCGGCCTCCCAAAGTGCTGGGATTACAGGCGTGAGCCACCGCGCCCGGCGAGAATTCTTTATGAAAGGAACGGTCGGAGGTAACTGCACGGCACCGTCAGAGCTCCAGCTTCCCTCCTCTTTGTGTGGAATCCAAGTTTTAGACCCAAGGGCGGAGGAACTGCCGCTGTACAGTGCCGAGTAAGACGGGGTTCCCACGAAGTCAGTGCAATTCCCAGCTCTTTCTGGCGCCCGCCGCACTCCCAGACACCGAGCCCTTGCCGAAGGGAGTTCCGTGTTTTGCGTGTTTGCGCTCGTGTTTATCTACCCTTCCCTGACCTAAAATAATGGCTGCCCTCTACCTGAGCGAGAGACTTCAGTGGAGGTCACCTGCTCGCCGGTGGCCGCATCCTTGAAAAAGCCCATTTATCTTCTATGATCTTCAAAATCGTGGTTAACCAGATTCACGTTGTATTTGCTGGCTCTTTCTCAGGTGACTGCTCGGTGCTCTTTTTTGTCTAAAGCAGGGCAAGTCGCCCAAGGGTGCTGACCTTCTCCCCACCCACATCGCGGGAGAAATGCTCTTTTTTCGAGGCGAGGGTTGCACGGCCCCGCCGCGCCCGTCCCTCGGGACACCAAGCTTTCCCCCGCCCGCCTCGCAGCCTCGGGGCCTTGGAACCCAGGCGGGGCGGGGGCGGGACGGGCGCGGCTGCGGGAGGAGGCGGCGGCGGCGCGCAGCGGTACCTAGCGGCACTGCCTGGCTGCGCCCGCCGGAGGACGTGGCACTCGGTGTACGGGGTACAGGGGGAGGGGATGCGGCTTTCTCCTCCCCGCGAGGAGGAGCCTCGGGACATCCTGCCGAGGCGGGAGGATCCTGGAGGGGACCGGCGCGCCTTTCAGGTGAGGGCTTAGCGGATGAAGGCGGCTGGCTGCAGGGTGCGCCTGCTGTGCGCTCCGCTCCGCGTCTGCCGTGAGCCGGGTGTGTGACAGGGTCGGGCGAGGGGCGCGCCGGCCACTCACCGCATGCGCAGAGCCGGGAGCCCGCCGACCGGACTACAGCTCCCAGAAGGGACGTGTGGAGGCCGCCGACGCGGGGCGGCTGGCGCCATCTTGAAATCTGATCCTCCGTCCTCTAGGCTTTGCGTCTGCGCGGGCGGCCGCTGGTGCTCCGGGACCCCAGTCTGCTAACTGGGGAGGACGCCGAGGACGCGGCGGCTGGCGGGAGAGACAGCTGGGGGGGATATGGCAGAGTCGGAGCGCGGCCCGCGCCGCTGTCACTCAGCATCCCCCTAGGCGTTTCCACGCCCGCCCCCTGCCCTAGGGGCGGGGCTGACGGCTCTGGTACCCGGAGCCGGCGCGCGGGGCGGGGGTGCGCCCCTGCAGAGTGGGGACCCCGCTGGCCTGTGCCATGCTGACCCGAGACCACCGAGGCGGGAGACAGAGCGCAGCGAAGAGCCGTTGAGTGGTCACCCGGTAGCCGCCGCCGCCGCCGCCGGGGGAAGCTTGGCACCCGGCAGGAGGGAAGATGAAGGAGAGTTGCAGGATCTGTGCCCGGGAGCTGTGTGGAAACCAGCGGCGCTGGATCTTCCACACGGCGTCCAAGCTCAACCTCCAGGTGCTGCTTTCGCACGTCCTGGGCAAGGACGTCCCCCGCGATGGCAAAGCCGAGTTCGCTTGCAGCAAGTGTGCTTTCATGCTTGATCGAATCTATCGATTCGACACCGTTATTGCCCGGATCGAAGCGCTTTCTATTGAGCGCTTGCAGAAGCTGCTGCTGGAGAAGGATCGCCTCAAGTTCTGCATTGCCAGTATGTATCGGAAGAATAACGATGACTCTGGCGCGGAGACCAAGGCCGGGAATGGGACCGTTGACATGTCCGTCTTACCCGATGCGAGATACTCTGCACTGCTCCAGGAGGACTTCGCCTATTCAGGGTTTGAGTGCTGGGTAGAGAACGAGGATCAGATTCAGGAGCCACACAGCTGCCACGCTTCAGAAGGCCCTGGAAACCGACCCAGGAGATGCCGTGGTTGTGCGGCTTTGCGGGTTGCTGATTCTGACTATGAGGCCATTTGTAAGGTGCCTCGAAAGGTGGCCAGAAGTATCTCCTGTGGCCCTTCTAGCAGGTGGTCCACCAGCATTTGCACTGAAGAACCAGCGCTGTCTGAGGTTGGGCCACCTGACTTAGCAAGCACAAAGGTACCCCCAGATGGAGAAAGCATGGAGGAAGAGACGCCGGGTTCCTCCGTGGAATCCTTGGATGCAAGCGTCCAGGCTAGCCCTCCACAACAGAAAGATGAGGAGACTGAGAGGAGTGCGAAGGAACTTGGGAAGTGTGACTGTTGTTCAGATGATCAGGCTCCGCAGCATGGGTGTAATCACAAGTTGGAGTTAGCTCTTAGCGTGATTAAAGGTCTTGATTATAAGCCCATCCAGAGCCCCCGAGGGAGCAGGCTTCCGATTCCAGTGAAATCCAGCCCACCTGGAGCCAAGCCTGGCCATAGCATGACAGATGGAGTTAGTTCCGGTTTCCTTAACAGGTCTTTGAAACCCCTTTACAAGACACCTGTGACTTATCCCTTGGAGCTTTCAGACCTGCAGGAGCTGTGGGATGATCTCTGTGAAGATTATTTGCCGCTCCGGGTCCAGGTATACAAAATGGCTACACGCTGCCTTTCTGATTATAGCTAGCTGGCCTTTGGCTTCACATGATTTCGGTCTAGGTGGAGGCTAGTAGTATTCTAGACTTGAGAAAATCATGGGCCCATTTTTGCTGCACCTTTTGCGATGTCTCTTACAGAAACGTGATTTGCACTCAGATAATTTTCTTTTCACAATTCTTTTTGTAAAATCTGTTGGCCTTCCCATTATCAAATTGTATACCTTTTAAAACAAAAAGGTAAAGATTCCCAGTTCACTTTTATCCTATAAAAAGAAGACATTTAATCTCATTTCAGGCACTAGAACTTTTCCTCGTAATTCCCTTTTCCTTCTTTTTTTTTCCCCCCCCTAGCTCTTTAAATTTGTTCGTGTTTTTAGATTTTAGATGTTTCCTCCCAATGGCTTTCTGTTAGGCAGTTAGTTCTCTAGTTCCTCCCAGAGCACCAAGGCTTTCATCCGTAAAATGCCTGTAAATGACTACAGCATAAGGTAAGATTGGGGAAAACCTATTAATTTACTATTAAAGTATTATAACATCTGGACAATATTATAATTAATAGATCATTTGAGGATTAGTGATGACTCATAAAAGAGACAGGAATTCAAGTATTCAAGTATGGTATTGTCACTGAAAATGTTAAGGCAGAAACTGTTCACAGCCAGAACTTAGTAATACTGAGTTTTACTGGAAGATACTTGATATTAAGAAAGGATTAATCAGGCGGGGCGCAATGTCTCACGCCTATAATCTCAGCACTTTGGGAGGCCGAGGCGGGTGGATCACGAGGTCAAGAGATCGAGACCATCCTGATCAACATGGTGAAACCCCGTCTCTACTAAAAATACAAAAATTAGCTGGGCATGGTGGCACGCGCCTGTAGTCCCAGCTACTCAGGAGGCTGAGGCAGGAGAATTGCTTGAACCCAGGAGGCGGAGGTTGCGGTGAGCGGAGATTGCTACATTGCACTCCAGCCTGGGTAACGAGCAAAACTCCATCTCAAAAAAGAAAAAAAGGATTAATCAATTATTGGATCAGAGGAGAGTTTCATCCATTATAGTCTCAAATTCTTAATAACTAGAGGATGACAGTTGCTTAATTTGAGCTATTCATGTCTGCCCAGTTGATTCTGTACCAACCTTTCAAATTCAACTATGGTAGCTTGTTTCTCTAGCAACAGTAAATACCAGGTTCAGTTAACTTTGTGAGACATTCTGGCATGTTCCACTTGATACAACTTCTTTAATGATAGAGTCACAAAGGTAGATGATCTAGAAGGCATTTTAGGCTACTGGTCAACATCTTTCCAGAAATTTAGAGCCTAACAAGTGTCATTGTTAATGGTCACATGACATTTTTGAAAAGTAGTTCTATGATATGTATACTTTCTGTCACAATAAGACCCTAAGCAGAAAACAGGAGAAAAGTTTTTAAATTTACACAAAATTATGAGAAACAGCATAGATGAAAGTGTCATGAAAGGTAAAAAGTCAGTGTGTTTTCATTTGTATAAAATATTAAGTATTGTTTGCTTAACACTGTGTACTTCTAGTCTTTTGCTGCTTTTTCTTTCAGTGGAGCCTCACAGCTAAATTTGGGCTTTACAGTATGTCTGTGACTAGACATAGGTGTTACAAATTAAACATGTTTTCATATTAGCCTCTAAAATTAGTTGGGCCAGGGTGGATGGGAAATAAACTCATTTCCGCAACCCCCCACCAAATATAGCCAATATTGTAGAACATTACATAAAGATTGAGAAAATAATAGCCAAAACAAGATTTTTTTCTCCATATTTAAATACTATATGTTGGCGACTGGATTTTGAAATTGAGAAGGATTTTAAAGATCATATTCAGGCAGTCTCTCCATTTGAAGATATGGAAAGTTAATTGTTTAACCAACTTAGCCCATGCAGAGACAAAGATTTCTGACCATTCTCAGGCAAGGCATTTAATTCTATACATTAAACCTCATTCTGTGAAGTATATAAATTTAAGTAAGTGTTTATTTTAAACCAGGAACCCACTTTCTTTAACCTAAAGATGCCTAGAGGCTTCTTTAGAAATTACCTGAAAAAAATGCCATCTGAATGAACACAAACTATGGTAACTGTATCTTTGGGTCAAGTCCCTTTACTTCAGTAAATTTGGACATTAGAGCTTTAAAATAGTAACATATGACCTTTCTTACATTATTTACTGTCTCTAGAAAAACAAAAATTGGGAAGAGGAAGAAAATGTCAGTTTCAAGAAATGTGACATTTAATTATTATGCCATTTTCTCTAATAATTTAGGATGTCAGGGAAAATAGATGAATTGGGCCCAACGTGTTTGGAAATAAAATGGGCAGCAAATCTATTGTTGAGACCTGATTACTTTTAAACCTCCTTAAGAGCCTTATGACAAAACCAGTGCTAGGGATAATGGCAGACTGGTTTTTGTCTATTTCTCTGAACAAATGTGGAAAGAATAGAAATAATGTAAATCTTTTTTTGCTAGTTCTCTTTTTAGTTTGTAGAAACACAAAACCATGAAAGCAAAAATGTTTCCTTTAGTTCAATTGTGCCACAAATATGAAGAAAATCTTTTAAAGAGTAAGATTGTTCTGTAAGGTCATTTTGATTCCTTTGTCTAATCCTCCACTTACCACATTGTATGCATATTGTATGCACTATTAAATATTGACATCCAGAATCCTCCTGATTGCTTTTCCTCTTTTTTCTTTCCTTCTTTCCCTCTCTTTTTCTCTTTCTTCCTTTCTTATTTATTAAAAATAGCAACAGGATAGTTTTGTTTACTGATATTCTGATATTATACAAAGTAATTTATTTGCCTTCCTAGGAATTTATGTATGTTCAGATATCTAAAGAAAGGTTTGAAGCCTTCTCCTAGCTAGTAATTCCCTTCTTTATTGTCTGGCCCTGAACTAGGACAGCTGTCATGGGAGGGGTGTGGTCCCTTAGTAAACAGCAATGAGCTCTGGCCCATGTGCAATTTCCCTTTCTATCTAAACTCAAAGAACAAGAGATCTTTGCTTTAAACCTTGCAATGCCAAGGTCTGCTCCTTGTGACTATGGTAAATTTATCCCATTCATATATTAGCTGTACAAAGTGGATCAGGCCCTTTGGAAGATGTTGGCATTAGATGCTGGTAAAAAATTAGGCCTTTAATTTTATGCTAGTCAGTGGTTCTTGTCTGTCTCCTATTATTAACAATAGGGATGAAAATTATAACAGTTTGAGATCTATAGCTCACTACTGGGAGGACTAAAAAGTGCCAAGAAAAATGCTGTTAACACAAAAGGTCTAAAAACCTTAGTCTAAAAGTCTCATGTTATGTAACACTAGGCCTGGAAGCAGTTCTCTTTTCTGATACTGGGAAGCCTTTGTCCTAATTCTGAGTCAAAAGTGACTTAATTTAAAATTATATTATCATTTCCATATGATTTTAGTACCTGAGTGTCTTGAGAGTAACCCTGATTCTATCAAATCAGGTATTATTTCTTGGGCCACACTATCATCGTAGGAGTGATTTGTTTTATGTACCTGATACTTCACAAGAATTCATTATGTTGTTGACTCAGTGGAACTTGCTGAGTGCTCTTTCAGCAGACTGTTATCTGCAAGAACATTTTTCTGAGATGTAAAACAGTAAATTATTACAAATAAAGGAGAAACAAATACCTTCCAACTTTTAGGTCAGTACATGATTTCTTATGATTATTCATGCCAAGATTGGTTCATATGAGATTCAGATTCTTTATATACTTTCCTGTGGCACTCTTTGTCTTTAAAGTTGCTGTTTGAATATATATTATATGTAGTCTTATATCTAAGAGAGCCACTGAAGACCTGTTTTTGATTGTTCTTATTCATTCATTAAACAAAAACTTTTGATCTCTGCAGTATTCCTGGCATTATGGTAGGCAGTGGGTTTATAGAAATGAGAGATACATTCCCAACCTGAGTGGGAATCTACTTCAGTTTAATTGGATTTTTTTCCTGATTTGCCATGTAACCTTGGACTAATTACTTCTCTAAGTTTCTATTTCCATGTATGTAAAATAGAATTGGATTAGATGGTTCCTTCACTGCTCTAAGATTCTTCGGTTTAAAGTAAATAAATATGACCACCTTCCCTGCCATTTTAAGCTTGAAGCTATTTTCTTTAATTCTGCCTGTTAAAGTTTAAATTTCAAAATATCTTACTGTAGATGTTGTTGTTGTTTTACACTGCGCAAGTAAGCCACATTTTATGGAGAGAGTTTTATCATTAAATAAATGATAAATTTATTTATTAGTTGGAATTGTTGTAAATACCTATTAATGTGGTTACCTTGCCCGTGGTGTGACATAGTTCATGTTGCCTTGGGTGAAGGCTTTCTGTTATACCCACAAGAACAAATATCTCAAATAATTTTTTCAGAAGTCATTATCCTTGCTGCTTTTTTTTTTCCTTCTACCACTATCCAGTCCACCAGCAAGTCCTGTTAGCTATCCTTTCAAAACATATGCATATCCATCCATTTATTTTCCCCTCCCTTACCACCAGAATCCAGACCACTAGTGTCTTTCACCTGCAGCCTCCTAGCTGGTCTCTCTGCTTCTGTTGGTGTTCCCCAATAATTCACTTACCACTGTGTGATGTTTTGAAAACTTACGTATGATTGCCTGTTAAAAAAAAAACAAAAAACTGCATCTATTCTCATTCCAATTAAAATGAAATCCAGCTTCATTAACCCTGCTGTCTGAGGCTGGATGTGACCTGGTCCCCGCCTGCCTCTTCACCCCATTGAATGTCCCTATCCCCTTTGGCCACTATGCTGTAGCCCTGTGCTATCCAGCAAGCTAGCCACTAGCCTTTACGAGCTGTTAAGCCCTTGAAATGTGGCGAGTCTGAATTGAGATGTGCTGTGAGTATAAAATCAACCTTGAATTTCAGACTTAAGAAAAATCATGTAAAACATCTCATTAATAATTTTGATATTGTTTGTTTATGACAACATTTTGGACATAGGGTTCAAGAAAATATTTTGTTAAAATTAAGTTTTCCTATTATTTTTTACTTTGTTCACTGAAGCTACTAGAAAATTAAAAGTTACATACATGGCTCCCATTATATTTCTATTAAAGAATACTAGTCTAGCCACAGAGGCCTTTCTTCTCTTTTCCAGGCTCATATTCCATGATCTGTTCTTTCTCCCTGGATTGTTCTGCTGCTCTTTGCAGGACTGGTTCTGTTTCCTTCAGATCTCTATTTAAATACTGTCTCATAAAGATCTTTCTCTGATCAAGCAATTTAGAGTAATTTAACACCAACTCTATTGTACTTTCCTATTTTACTGCATAGGGCTTGTCAGCAATGTTTTTCCCTTGTTTGTTTCTTATATACTCCCCACTCCAAGCCCTGCAAAATACGTTTCAAGAGCGCAGGGACTTTGTCTTGCATGGTACCCTATCTTCAGGACAGTGCCTAGTATATAGTGTGCGGCAGGTATACGTTATGTCAGCATTGTATTCCTCACAGTGCCTCACATGGTGCTTTGCTTGTTATAACATTTAGTAGGTGTTAGAAAGGTTGATAAATAGCACTGGAGGAATGAAAAAGATTTTTCTTCTGAAATCTTTATGCTTCCAGTCAGTTGCTAGCAGGAAGGGATTTAAAGTAAGCTGTAATTCCACTGCCTTGAAGGTGGCAATCAAGCCTGCAAGCATGAGGGAAAGAAAAAATGAATAGCAGTTACCTTTTTTCTCTTAGTGAATTTAGAATTTATATTCCTAATTGAAATGAAAGCAGGTGTGGAGGGGGGAAGATCAAATTCAATTGTCACAGTAAATTTGTAAAGTTTTATTTTGACATTCTTAGCTTGTAGTGATGACTAGGAATAGTTCAGTAAGTATATCTTATTGTCCCATATATAAATCATACTTTTTTTTGCTCCTGAATCTTTTTAGTGAATTGATATTTCTGTAAAACATATCTCCTTCCCAGTTCACTATGGATTATTTATCTAGGCTTATGCTGTAAATCTACCTTTAAGTAGGCACATCTATTTTAAACTTATTTTATTTGTTCTCTTTTTATTTTAAACAATTTCAAATGTCCAGAGACATTATATGAGAAATACCAAGAACTTCCATATGATCCTCACTCAGATTTACCAGTTGCAAATATTTTGTCACATTTGCTTTCTCTCTCCCACTCTCTGTATTTGCACATTGTATTTTTAAAATTCTTGATCCATTTGAGAATTAGTTGTAGTAGATATTATACTCCTTCACCCTAAATACTTCAGGATTCTCTCCTAATGACAAGGACATCTCTTATATAATTACAGTACAATTACCAAATTTAGAAAATTGGGCATTGATAAAATACTGTTATCTAATATATAGTTCATATTGAAATCTGCCAATTTTTTCCAATAATGTGAAACAAGCATGTTGTAAGAAAGGTAGCTGGAATGTAACTTCTCTCAGGAGTAGTGTGAGTTTGATGAGTAAGTATGCCTTTTCAACTCCTTGATTAAAAATAGAACAAAGCAAATATTTGGTCATTGCAACCATTTCCTTTATTAAATCCTCCCCTTCTCATTGAATCTGAATTAGTTGCTTTCACTGAATAAATATACAGTGTTTGTGTGAATTGGTAGGGAAAAGTGGAGAGGGAAGTTAGAGAGCATAGTACAAATGAAGGTGAATCAGCGCTCTTAGTAAGGAACAGGCCTGTCTTTAGGAATTTATACTGATAATTTATGCAACAAATGTGATTTATAAATCTCTGGCAAAAGATGCAACAGACATTTTTGAAGATAAAAATAAAATTTTGTTGGCTGCATTTAATTCACCTTACTTATTTTGCTGTTTCTTCCTAGCCCGTGACTGAAGAGTTACTCAAACAACAAAAGCTGAATTCGCCTGAGACCACTGTAACTCATCAGTCTGTATCTGATTCCCATTTGGCAGAACTCCAGGAAAAAATCCAGCAAACAGAGGCCACCAACAAGGTATGATTAGTACTATGCCCTAGGAGATGACAGGGTTTTCCTGAGGATGTGACTGGCACTAGCCTGAATCTATCAACCTGCATAGGACTTGGGAGATGAATACTGTGTACTCCTTGTGCTCTAGGGAATATTTCATTTAAAAATGTAGTTCTTCCCTTTATTCTTATCAAGATTTTAGCTTGTTCTGTACAGCTTATAATTTCTGGTGCTTTTCAGGTGTGTAATTAAAACTTGCACGCAGACCGGGCACAGTGGCTCACACCTGTAATCTCAGTGCTTTGGGAGCCAAGACAGACAGATCATGAGGTCAGGAGTTTGAGACCAGCCTGGTCAACATGATGAAACCCTGTCTCTACTAAAAACACAAAAGATTAGCCAGGCATTGTAGCAGGCGCCTGTAATCCCAGCCACTTGGGAGGCTGAGGCAGGAGAATCGCTTGAACCCGGGAGGTGAAGGCTGCCATGAGCTAAGACCACGCCATCGCACTCCAGCCTGGGCAACAGAGTGAGACTCCATCTCAGAAAATAAAGCAAAACAAAAAACTTGCATACAGTCTTTAACTGTAAAGGGCACAGAGATAGGAGGTCTGTGCTTTTTATATTATCTTAACTTGTTACCACTTTCTAGACCATGAATTTTAATGTCTGGTTTAGAAGAAAATTGCTACAATTTGGGATGTTGAACTTGTGGCCTGGGTGCCCTTATAGTGCCCTCCTATACTAGATAGCAGAAGCTCTTTGGTCTTGGCATAAGGGATCCATACCATGAACCACGTGCCTCGTTGGTCCATGTGGACAAGTCCTTAGTATGACTGTCATCATAAAGCGAGCACAGTGCACGGAAATTGAGACAATTGAGTATTGAAGGAAGTATGTCATTTTTCCTGCTAGTTTTTGTTGCTGATTGACTTATGACTCTAATGGTTACTGTATATGGGAAAAATAACAAGGTAATATCTCCTAAGAAATTCTTTAAATTCTAGATTTGAGGAAAGGCTTTATTCACTTGAAGTTAAAAGACATCATTGACCTAAAAAACTGTTTTTCTTTGCTGAATTCAGATTCTTCAAGAGAAACTTAATGAAATGAGCTATGAACTAAAGTGTGCTCAGGAGTCATCTCAAAAGCAAGATGGTACAATTCAGAACCTCAAGGAAACTCTGAAAAGCAGGGAAAGCGAGGTAAAATACTTAGCAATCAAGGACCTGTGTGGAAACAATTGGTCCCATCAAAGTAGACAAGTATTTCATGTTTTGTCAAAATGGATATTGCCAGACTAACAGATCTTAGACTGGAGAAATTGTAGCTTCACCTCAATTGATATTTTGGAATAGTCCTGGTACTAAAATCTGTACAGGTGAGATAATGGAATTTATAGTTAGTTTACTAACATGTGTGATGTTCCTTCTCTCATTTTCAGACTGAGGAGTTGTACCGGGTGATAGAAGGTCAAAATGACGCAATGGCAAAGCTTCGAGAAATGCTGCACCAAAGCCAGCTTGGACAGCTTCACGTATGTGAGGGTCACATAGGACAGGAGAGACTTCAGCTGGGGATGTCCCACTTTGGTTGCAGTCTTCATTTCATTTCCACAGTCTTTGCTGGGACTCAGTGCTTGCCCTCCTTGCGATTGATTTCTACTCTCTTTTCAGAGCTCAGAGGGTACTTCCCCAGCTCAGCAACAGGTGGCTGTGCTTGATCTTCAGAGTGCTTTATTCTGCAGCCAGCTGGAAATACAGAAGCTCCAGAGGCTGGTACGACAGAAAGAGCGCCAACTGGCTGACGCCAAACAATGTGTGCAGTTTGTAGAGGCTGCAGCACACGAGAGAGAACAGCAAAAAGAGGCTTCTTGGAAACATAACCGGGTAAATCATTAACTATTTTATAGCCCTAAATGCTGACTTTGCCCTGATGATAACTTTTTAGCAGGATAGTTTGTGTTGAACCATTGAGTCACTTGCCAATGGTTGTTGAACTCAAATACTTAGATTTGAACTCAAATAAAATTTCAACTTAATAAAACTGCCCTTGCACCATGTGCTAGTCACAGTAGCCCCCCCTTATCCGCAGTTTCACTTTCCATGGTTTCAGTTATCGGGGGTCAACCACAGTCCAAAAATATTAAGATATTTCAAGAGAGACCACATTCACATAACTTTTTATTATAGCATGTTGTTATAATTCTTCTATTTTATTGCTATTGTCAATCTGTTAGTATGTCTAATTTATAAGTAAAGCTTTATCATAGTTATCAATATATAGGAAAAAAACAGTATATATAGGCTTCTGTGCTAGTTGTGGTTTCAGGCATCCACTGGGCATCTTAGAATGTATCATCTGTGGGTAACGGTGACTACTGTGTTGAGTTGTGCCCTGGAAATAACAAGAATGACTAGCGCAGGCTCCTTTAAGTTACTTATAGTTTAGTATGAGAGACAGTCACATAAGCTGAATTTCAGTGTGGTAAGTTCTAAAGGGGATGTATGTATGGGGTCCTACAGGAATATCTAGCTGGGGCTGAGGAAAGGAGTCAAGGAAAGCTTCATGAAGTAGGAGATACTCAAGGTTATTCTTGAAGGATGGATAAAACCAGACAGAAAAGTGGGGAAGAACCACTAAGGTCAGAGGAATCACATGAGCGATACTCAGCCCTCTATTTCATTTTTTGGTAATAAATACACAATTATAATAAATAATTGTGAATAATAAAATACACAATTCTTAAATGGTTCCTTTATCTTGTTAGCTTAGAGCCATATGTGTTTAGAACTTAAACGATTTTTTGTGATCTCTTCAGCCCTTTAATATTCAGATTTAAAAATATTTTTCAAGGCTCTCCCTGGTTTAGTGGCTTGGAGATTAAATATCAGCCCTGAATTTCCTTTTGAAATATTAAAATTTCAGATGTCTTGGCAGGGTTGGGAAGTGGTGGAGGGATGGGGGTAGAAACAATTTTTAATTTTTTGTTATTTACCTAAAGGAAAAAATTTTCCAAGGTTTGTTTAGTTGATGAGAATATGTATTTTGGGAGCTTTCTAAAGTAACAGATGACTTAAATATTACTGACTTTATTATTAGAAAAACATATATGGCAAACTAAGAAAGACGAGTGATGGTCTTTATGAGATCTTTAGAAAAAAAGGATGATGGGAATAGTCTATCCTTGAACTTATTGTAAATAATCCAGGTTTACAACGGGACAGATTCTCACTTAATGGTTCTATAGATGTATCCTTTTTAAACAAAAAATAATTATTGAGCTATAATATCAAGCTTAACTTCCTACCCTAGTCACAATTTTTTAAATAATTTTCCACATCCTTTTCAATTCATGTATGATATTTCTATAGCAGTTTTACTAATGGCACCTTCTCCTGCTTTATCTTTCATTTTATATGTCTTGAAAATTTTAAGGCTTCTATATCTAATAACCATGTGAGAATTTTAGGTGTCTTTAAAAAGGTAATATGTTTAATTCAGGAATTGCGAAAAGCCTTGCAACAGCTACAAGAAGAATTGCAGAATAAGAGCCAACAGCTTCGTGCCCAGGAGGCTGAAAAATACAACGAGATTCGAACCCAGGAACAAAACATCCAGCACCTAAACCATAGTCTGAGTCACAAGGAGCAACTGCTTCAGGTGAGCTTACATGATTTCAGTGAAAACTGGGCTCATAGACCTCTGAAATTTGTTTATATAATTTTAAGATATTAATGCCCCCGTGTTGAGTACAGGCTATATGAGAAAAAAAAAAAAAAAAAAAAAGAGGTGGGAATCAGGAGGATTTAAAATAAATAGAAAATAATTTATGAATTAACATGCTTACTAACAATTGTAAGAAACAGTTCATACAGCCCTGACTTAAGCAGTCTTTTATGAAGTCTTTTATAAAGACAATATTCAGGAAATAGTTATTAAGCACCTCGATGAGTGAAACACTTTTCTGGGCATTGGAAAGACAAAAGATTTGGCTACTGCTCTCAGTTTAATAGATGAAGACAAACTGTACAGAAACTCAGAGTAATTTTGATGATAGAATGAAAGTTTTAGGGGAAAATGGAGCATTTTAAGAAAAGACTGATCTGTTCTGTTGCCTACTCTAAGCTTCAGTTACATTGAATCCACTACATTTCACTGAATGTACAATTTTTTCATTGTATGCATAGTGTGCATAATTTTTTTCTTTAACATACCCTCCTCTCCCTTCTTCATTTAGGAAATCCTAGTCCTTTAAAACTGACTGTAAATATTACATCCTCTGTGAGGTCTTTACTGACACCTGCAGGCAGAGTTAGGCAGTGCATCCTGTGGTCCCTTGGTAGCTAGCGCATGTTTCAGAGCAGTTAATTCTGTGTGTTGTGTCTGTTGTATGTTGTCGAATAGTTAAGAATTTGTATGTCTGTCACTATCTCTGCTACTCTTGTTATTCTTGAGGAGAGTGATTACATCATTTTTTATCCTGAATAACAAATTGGCAATTTAGTTAATATTGGATAAAAGAATAAAGGAAACTATTTTTTGGTCTCAGGAATTTCAGGAGCTCCTACAGTATCGAGATAACTCAGACAAAACCCTCGAAGCAAATGAAATGTTGCTTGAGAAACTTCGCCAGCGAATACATGATAAAGCTGTTGCTCTGGAGGTATGTATCATCATTTTGCCCACTCTGTATTATAGAAATTTGTGTCTACTTAAATTTGCTGCTTTGGGATTTGGTTTTCTGTTCTTCCATCTTGTTGAATAAGAATGATCAGGATAGTGAATCTTACAGAGCTTTAGGAATCTCCCTTTCCTTGCAGCGGGCTATAGATGAAAAATTCTCTGCTGTAGAAGAGAAAGAAAAAGAACTGCGTCAGCTTCGTCTTGCTGTGAGAGAGCGAGATCATGACTTAGAGAGACTGCGCGGTGTCCTCTCTTCCAATGAAGCTACTATGCAGGTAAGAGCAAAACCTATCATGACATGGTGTTCCTCTCCCACTTGAATTCTAAGCCTGAAATATGACCCCCTTCCGTCGTTTTCTGAAAAACAGGGATTTTGCTTTTTAAGAGGGGAGAAAACCGGTAATAGCAGTCACTAGTTCCATCATTGTAGATTAGAAAGTGAGAGATTTTAGCACTTCTCCTTTCTTTTGTAATACAAAATTTATGAGGAGAGCCAGTGAATATTGATTTCTGTTTACACAGTTCTGATTTATTTCCAATTCTCATTCATACATAAATACACACACACACACACACACACACACACACACTCGCTCTCTCTTTCTCTCTCTTTCACTTTTACTGAAGCATTGCCATGGTGCAACTATTATATTGTGTTTTCTACATTAATATTATATACATGTCCATGAATTGCCATAATTAGAATAGTTGTTTATCAACATTTTACTGTGGGCTTTTTTGGATATTTATTTTAGAGCTTATGTATCTAACTATCTGCTACTTTTTCGAGAAATCCTTTATAGCATAGTGTACTTCCTCCAAAAGACTTTATCATATATTCTATATTTAATCTCTCTACAAACTAGATAAAAGTTTCTAAAAAAAGATATAGATTAGTATGGCATTGTTAGGTCAGTGTTCTCCTCTTGCAAATAAAGATATTGATGGAAGATTATTTAAAAGTGGATCTAATTTCTCATTTATCCTGAGGAGTATGGGGTAATGTGTTGACTAATGATTGCTCTCTTTATGGCTGTAGAGTATGGAGAGTCTCCTGAGGGCCAAAGGCCTGGAAGTGGAACAATTATCTGCTACCTGTCAAAACCTCCAGTGGCTGAAAGAAGAAATGGAAACCAAATTTAGCCGTTGGCAGAAGGAACAAGAGAGTATCATTCAGCAGTTACAGACATCTCTGCATGACAGGAACAAAGAAATAGAGGCAAGACTTCAGTTAACTTAAAGGCAGTTGGCTTAGTGATTATGTAAACTCAGCCTTGGATTGGGACTCTTCACATCGGGAGGACTCTGACCCAGTCTTTAATTTCATTCTGTGCCTGGGCAAGTCATTGACTTTCACTGGGATTTTATTTTTCACATCTAGAAATTTAAGCTGGCAATTAACTTTTTCAAAGAAGTTATGTGAGAATTAATGAGACCTAAAAATTGCATCTTTTAATATAATAGCTAACCTTTATTAGTTACAGTGTTCATATTGGGTCAGGTACTGTTTTAAGATCTTAATGGATAGTAACTCATTGAATCCTCACAGGTCCATGAGGTGCATACTATTATCCCTGTTACAGAGAGGAGGAAACAGACTTCTGAAGTTAAGAACCTTGTCCAAGCTAACATAGCTACTAAGTAGCAGATCGGGTAACCTAGGCAGTATGGCCCCTTTTCCTCCACCATGTGCTGTTGGTTAATACAGAAAAAGAAACCATCACTATGATAGCACAGTGTTTAGTATTCCTTTCAGCTCATTGTTTTGTGCTTCCCCCTATAAAGTTACACTGGGGAGAAAATAAATCAATGAATTGAGTGTACATTTATCCTCATCTAACATTAATTGTTACATGCCCTGAACAAATAGGAGAAAGACTTATTTCAGAAAACAGTAGGTATGTAAGGGTCCACTAGAGATAGTTTTCTTTATTGTTAGTATTCATTCCTGGGACATGTATTTAGAGACTTCTGTGTTCTGGGTCTGTGTTAGATCTGGTTAAACAAAAATGAATAAAACATGATACTTATTCTCAAGAATCTCACAGCTCCTTCTGTGATAGAATCTTTTAAGCTCTTTGATATTTATTAAAGGCAGTTCTTTCCTACAGAAGCTTACAGTGTCCCTTCTGTATTAGGATCTTAGTGCAACATTGCTCTGCAAACTTGGACCAGGGCAGAGTGAGATAGCAGAGGAGCTGTGCCAGCGTCTACAGCGAAAGGAAAGGATGCTGCAGGACCTTCTGAGTGATCGAAACAAACAAGTAGTGGAACATGAAATGGAGATTCAAGGCCTGCTTCAGTCTATGAGCTCCAGGGAGCAGGAAAGCCAAGTAAGGACTAATGCAAGCAGAAAAGTATCACGTAGTGCATTTATAGTCTGCAAATAGGAAGCATTTTCAGACTATAGATGTGCGTATACTGATATACTTTACAGTCAACTCTGTTTCTTTAATTTATTACCTAGACCACAGTTTTATTTATTTACTTATTTATTTAGAGATAGGGGTCTCGCTACTTGTGCAGGCTGGTCTCAAAGTCCTGGGCTCAAGCAGTCATCCTGCCTTGGTTTCCCAAAGTGCTGGGATTATAGGTGTGAGCCACTGCGCCTGGCCTTAGACTACAGTTTTATACTTATCATCAAAGTATGAAAAATTTTTTGAAAACTTTCTATTTGGAAGGGTGCCTAAACAATACATGTATCCGTTAACGTCATTACATACATTTTCTTTTCCTTAATAATCTGATCATTTTCACGTCTGTAATCCCAGCACTTTGGGAAGCCAAGGCGGGTGGATCACGAGGTCAAGAGATCGAGACCATCCTGGTCAACATGGCGAAACCCCGTCTCTACTAAAAATACAAAAATTAGCTGGGCATGGTGGCGCACGCCTGTAGTCCCAGCTACTCGAGAGGCTGAGGCAGGAGAATTGCTTGAACCCAGGAGGCGGAGGGTCGGTGAGCCAAGATCGTGCCATTGCACTCCAGCCTGGGTAATGAGCGAAACTCCGTCTCAAAAATAATAATAATAATAATAATAATCTGATCATTTTGAGAGAAAGGAGTAGAGGTTGTAGAGTGTTTTGATTTTGATTCTGAATTATTAAGACTTCAGTGATACTTTGCATTTCCAGCCAAGGCATGGGAAAACTTACACTCAACATGTTTACTCTTAGTTTTTGTTAAATCTGAGTTATCCTAAGAGGAAGAAAAGATTGCATTTTTCAGAGGTCATGATGAGAATAAATAATCTCATAATAGTATGGGGTATATTACTTTCACAACATTTCAGAAGTAAGTTCTTTTTATTATTATTATTATTATTATTATTATTATTATTATTTGAGATGGTGACTTCCTCTGTCACCCAGGCTGCAGTGTAGTGGCGTGATCTCAGCTCACTGCAACCCCTGCCTCCTGGGTTCAAGTGATTCTCCTGCCTCAGCCTCCTGAGTAGCTGGGATTACAGGCATGCACCACCATACCTAGCTAATTTTTGTTTTTTTAGTAGAGATGAGGTTTCACCATTTGGCCAGGCTGGTTTCTATTTCCTGGCCTCAAGTGATCCACCCACCTTGGCCTCCCAAGGTGCTGAGATTACAGGCATGAGCCACCATTCACTGCCCAGAAGTAAATTCTTAATTTTTCCTTATTTCTGTGTCTTTTCTTCACAAGGCTAAAGATTCTTGGTTGACTTGTGCTGCATTTTAGAGACCCACTAGCTCAGAACACCCCTAGTCAGTTTTTAGAGAAAGAAAGACTCTTTCTTGCCTACGTTATTTAACCCCATAATATTTTCTTATGTTTCCTTACATTGTAAATGGATTATACTCCACTATTCTAATTGTTAGGCCCACTGAAGTAACTACACATCTTGTTAGAAAAGTCCTGCTGTGTGCTTCAGAAATTGTTTCTGAAATAGACCTAACAAAATTATTCTAAATTATTTAAGTCTTTGGCAAGAGGCTAGGAACTTTGAGTTTTCTTTTTAACCTGTTTGTGATTTGGAAGAATTAGTCTTTATTATACCTCAGGAAAAAGAATTATGCCCTGCAGGTAATAAAATAATGAAGGTGGTGGAACTTACAGGAGATTTTTCAACTCAAGAAGATTAATGGTTGCATTCTTCTAGATCTGCTTCTCTAATTTTACATGTAAAAGAAATCACCTGATAGCTTTTTAAAGACATAGATTGTAGAGCTCAACTCCAGAGATAGAAATTAGGAGGTATAGGTGGGACTTAATAATTTGCATTTCTAACAAGTTTCCAGGTGATAGTGATGCTGCTGGCTCGTGGACTGCATTGGAGGAGCACTGCTAAAAACTCTGAAATACTACTAGAAGAAGAGTGCCAAGGCAGATAGAGCACAGTATATATCTTATATGTTATTTATTATGTTTTTTCCCCACAGTTTCCACAGATACTTTTATTAAGGTACTTTCATAATATACTGATAACCTCTAAAATGGTTATCCAAATCTCCAAAGAGCCCACATTTTACTTACCGAAAAATAGAAGTTTTTTTCTCATATTTCCCTTAGAAATTGTGACAAGAGCTCAGCTTCTCACTTAAAACAATGGTACTTTCCCTGAGAGACAGTTGGTGTTATGATTCATCATCTTATACCCTCAATCATTTTAATATCAATTTATTATTTCCAGATTTTCTGTTTAAATGCAGACTTCCTGTGCCTTAATAGTTACAAAAATTCTAGGTCTTTCCCTAATTGTGTTGTTGTCTGTCTTAGAAAACTAGAATTTGAAATGAAACTGAGTTTGGTGATTTTGAGATTGAGATTCCCCTGATCATGTGGTCTGATAAACATGTTTATGTGTGTAATTGATTCATTCAGGAAATATGTAGTGAGTGCCTATTATGTGCCAGACACTGTACAGGGTGCTTGAGATTCAGCACCACGTTGCCTTTGGGAAACTTATGTTCCATGTAGGGGAAGCAGAGAGAGATATGTATCAGATAATGGTAAGTGCATTGAGAAAAAATTTAGCACAGTAGGGGAATTGGGGATAGCGAAGAGATTGCTGGATTTAAAATTTTTTTTTTCCCAGCTTTATTGAGGTATAATTCATAAATATTTTATGTATTCAAGATGTACAACTTGATATTTTGATACATGTACACATTGTGAAATGATTACCATGATCAAATTAACACATCCGTCGCTACACATTTTATGTGTGTGTGGTGAAAACACTAAAGATCTACTCTCTTAGCAAATTTCAAGTAAATAATATAGAATTATTAACTCAAGTAAATAATGCAGTATTATTAACTAAAGTCACCATGCTGTACATTGGATTCCCAAATCATAGTCATCTTGTACCTGAAAGCTTGTACCCTTTGGCCAGCGAGATTGCTGTTTTAGATAGGATATGCAGGGAATGCCGACCTGATAAGGTGTCATTTGGCAAAGACCCAAAAGGAGCAAACCACACAAATGTTTGAGTGAAGAGCAATCCAGTCCTAAGCAGCAGCTGTCCAAGAATAAAGACATTTGTTATCCTAATTCCAGAATCTTAACACCTTTGCCTGGTAGTTCTAGCAGAACCTATTTCAGATTCCCTTATCTGTTACAAATGTGTTAAATTCAGTTTTTCCCCCAGTGTTCTGCCTATGAGACTTTTTTCCCATTCGCTTTAACTATGTTTTTCCCTGTAAGCTAAAAGCAAGGAAACTATTTCCTAAGGACCCACTGTTATTGTTGTTGTTGTTGTTGTTTTTAACAAATGATTGACTTTGAAGAAATAATACCAGAACAAAAATTTTGTTTTACTAGAATATCTTTCCAAAGTTATTTGTGATTTCCTCTTAATAGGCTGCTGCACAGAAGATGGTGCAAGCCTTAATGGAAAGAAATTCAGAATTACAGGCCCTGCGCCAATATTTGGGAGGGAGAGACTCCATGATGTCCCAAGCACCTATCTCTAACCAACGAGCTGAAGTTACCTCCATTGGCCCCCCTCTTGGAGAGCAGACTGAGCAAGTAAGAACTATAGACTTATATAATTCATGCTGAATGTGTTTCCTTTTTACATTTGAGGTGTAAGTTTTATAATTTTAATACCAAATTGTGAGAATATTCTCAGTCCTGTCATTGTGATCATAGTTCCTGCATCTTCCTAAGTCCCCTGACTTTTCTAATTTTTTAGGGTTCAATGCAGATACCTTCCAGAGATGATAGCACTTCCTTGACTGCCAAAGAGGATGCCAGCATACCCAGATCCATATTAGGTAAGTATCAAATTTCATTTCATTAAGGGACTTTGTTTTTCCTTCTGTTAATCTTTATATTAATAGGTTTGGCCAAGAGTCTTTTCTCTTCCTACCTTAATGGAAAAAAATAAGTTTGGAATTCCTCTGAAAGGCTGAAGAACTGTCCTTACCTTATGTTGAGTTGAGGTTATTCCTCTGGGTTCCCAATTTGGCCCAGAGAAACTCTGTCCTTATTCTCTTTTTCAGAGAGCTTTGCCTGGGATTCAGAAATGCAGGAGGTAGTGGTTCCAATCCTGCACAGCAGTGCCATGTGCTAACAGCTTTTCCCGGGTATCTTTCAAGTCTGGGGCCACTCATTGTAACTTGACATCACCTGCGTTAAACTGTTAGGAAGGTTAGGCAGTGTACATTGAGTTATTTGCCAAGCCTAGCCCGATTCAGGGGATGGTTTAGAAAAGTCTTACAAGTAGTCATTCTCTAATAGGAGAACTTTATACTAATCAAAGAGTAAAAGAATGTTGGATTTTTAAAGAATTCTTTATTTGCCTTTTTTAAAAAGTGCACTTTTCCCTAAATTTTTTTATTTTGGAAATTTCAAACCTACAGAAAATTGGCAAAAGTAGTATAGTGAATACTCATACATTTTTATTAAGACCAGTTATTAACATTCTGCCACATTTGCCTTATTTCTCTTCATGTACACACCCATATGTAGAGGTAATGTATTTTCTGAACCATTGGAGAATTTCATACAGAAAGCATGACACTTTATTCCTGAATACTTCAGTAAGTATTTCCTGAGAACAAGAACATTCTCCTACATAGCTACAGTGTAATTATCACACTCAGAACATTTGACCTTGATATAGGCTTAGTGTCTAACACGCAGTCCACATTCAGAGTTCCTGTTGTTCCAATGATGTTCTGTATAGCTACTTTGGTTCCCCCTAACCCAGGGCTTATGCATTGTGCTTAGTTGTCATGTCTCTTAGTCTCTAATCTAGAACAATTGTCTAGCTTTCTTTTTTCTTTAGTGAGACTGGCATTTTTTAAGAATCCAGGCCAGCGAGTATTCCTCAATTTAGCTGTGATTGTTTTCTTGTGGGTAGATTTGAGTTAAACATTTTTGGCAGGAATACCATATGAATGACTCAACCTCTTCCTCTCCCCCTCTCCCCCTCTCTCCCTCTCCTCCTCTCCTCGTCTCCCTCTCCGTCTCTCTCAGTCTCTCTCCCTCTCTCCATCTCCCCATCTCCCTCTCCCCCCACTTTTTTTTTGAGACAGAATTTCAAAATTGCCCAGGCTGGATTGCAGTGGCACCATCTTGGCTTACTGCAACCTCTGCCTCCCAGGTTCAAGCGATCTTCCCACCTCAGCCTTCCAAGTAGCCAGGACTACAGGCATGCGCCACTGTACTTGGCTAGTTTTTTGTATTTTTTTTTTTTTAGAGAGATGGGGTTTCACCATGTTGGCCAGGCTGGTCTGGAACTCCTAGCCTCAAGTGATCCACCTGCCTCGGCCTCCCAAAGTGCTGGGATTACAGGTGTGAGCCAGGATGACATCTTTCTTAGTGCATCACATCAGTGCATGATAATCAAGTTTGTATCATCCTTGGTGAGAGTAAATTTAGTCATTTGGTTAAGGTTGTAGCTGCCAAATCTCTCCATCGTAAAAGGTTCATTTTCCCTTAATATATAAGTGATCTGCTGGCTGAAGTTGAGATGTTGACAGTTCTGTTTTCCAACAATCATTCACTCAGTGGTGTTAGTATCATTTGAGCCTTGCCTGAACCAACTCTTACATTGGTAGCTTAAAAATAGTGATTTTCAGGGCTGGGCATGGTGGCTCATGCCTTTAATCCCAGCACTTTGGGAAGCCCAGGAGAGCCAATCACTTGAGCTCAGGAGTTTGAGGCCAGCCTGGCCAACATGGTGAAACTCTGTCTCTACTAAAAATATAAAAATTAGTCAGGCGTGGTAGCACATGCCTGTAATTGCAGCTACTCAGGAGGCTGAAGTAAAAGAATTGCTTGAACCTGGGAGACAGAAAGATTGCCCCACTGCACACCAGCCTAGGCAACAGAACGAGACTCAGTAAAAAAAAATATATATATGATTTTCTGTTTTTAAAATTTCTTCTTTATTTATTTGTGGATATTATTTTATAAAGAAGACTGTCCTTTCCCTATCTCTGTACCCCTTTTGTTTTTATCAGTATGGATTTTAAAAAATCATTATATTAATGAGAATACATGGACACAGGGAGGGGAACATCATACACTGGGGTCTGTTGTGGGTTAGGGGGACTAGGGGAGCAATAGCAGGGGGTGAGGAGATTGTGGAGGGATAACAATAGGAGAAATACCTAATGTAGGTGACGGGGGGATGGAGGCAGCAAATCACCATGGCATGTGTATACCTATGTAACAGTCCTGCAAGATCTGCACATGTACCCCAGAACTTAAAGTGTAATAAAAAAAGAACAGTTTTATTAAAACATAATTCACATACTATGCAATTCATTGAAGTATAAAAATTAGGGTTTTTTAGTATATTCAGAGAGGTGTGTAGCCATTGTGACTATGTAATTTTAGAACTTTGTCATCAGCCTCCCAAGAAATCTATCCCATTAACAGTCATTTCCCTTAAACTGCTGACAATCATTAATTTCTCATCTGTCTCTAAGGATTGATTTTGAATAAATTTCATATACATGGGAAAAATAAAAATAAAATCATTATATCATTGATTTTGTTCATTATTTTCTTTACTCCTCAAATTAACCCAGATTTGGTCAGTAGGAGACTCATTAAGCTGTTTCTCTGACCCTGACCCTTTGCTATATCCCCATCAGGTTTTTATTTTTGTTCTTTGTTTTTTGTTTTTTGTTTTTTTTTAGCACTTTGATAGTTTGTGGCACAATAAGATGTTCTATGATTACCTTTTACTTCACCTGCCTCAGTCCCAGAATCAGCCATTATCCTAAAGAGCTCCCTGGTTCCTTTTGGTGGTAATGGCATTGACAGACTATGATCTGAGCACAATGTCTTCATTGCGACATGAATACCTTTTGCTTCTAGGCCCTTTTAAGTGAACAGAGGTAGCAATGAATATTTTAAAGTATATAGTATGTATTTGTATACATATGAAGATTTGATACTGATTTCTGTAATTCTAATTTAACAATATAGCTTCTTTTTTCCCTCTTTCGTATTTCTATCTCCTTGATAGCCCTGGTTACTTATAACATCAATACATTTCAAAGTATTTACACATTTGCAGAATACTATAATATGCAAAAGTAGTTTCAGAATTACTACATAAATACCAATATGAACAGTAAATGTGTTATGTAATGTTTAAGGTTTTTTTTTGTAATTTTTTTAATCCTTAGGGTATTTTTGAAATTCTTTTTATCCTTAGGGTATTTTACACTGATGGTCTTCAGTTAGTGAGTTCAAAAATTATTTGGATTAATTTTTAAATTATCTTCCGGGTGGTTTTTATTGTCTGTTTACTATACAGATTCATTTATTTATATAGTATTGAATTTTAGGCTTTTTCTCTTCCATTAATTGTCAAGCTGACTTGCATATTAAAAATTAAACATTAACAGAGTTCAAAACTCCAGTATATAAGATTATATACTCAGATGTCCCATCTCTTTCCCTATCCCTTTTCTCCTGTTTCCACTCATCTCCTGGAGGTAATCAGTTTCATTTCTGGGTTATTCTTTCTGTATATCTTTCTGCAAAAATAAGCAAATGAATCATCTTCGTGTATGTGATGTATATATGTACATTCTTATTTCCCCTTTTCCTAATATAAAACCTACTACCTTAGATGTATTCTTAAGCACATAGTTTGTTTTACTTAACATATTCTGAGAATCTCAAAATCACTCCATATAAGTTCATAAAGATCATTCTTACTCTTTTTTTTACAGCAGACTATAGTGCCATCTGTGAATATACTATAGTTTATTCAATCTTTTCTTTATAGCATGCAAGATGATTGCAGTATTTTGCCATTATAAATAATGCTACAAAGAATAACCTGTGTATATGTTTTATTTTTTCTTATTATTGGAATATGTTCTCAGTAAATTACTCAAAGGAGGCAGCAGATATTACATTATGTTAACAGCAATTAGAACTAGCACTCTATTTTTATTTTAGGAGACTTGGACACAGTTGCAGGGCTGGAAAAAGAACTGAGTAATGCCAAGGAGGAACTTGAACTCATGACTAAAAAAGAAAGAGAAAGTCAGGTGAGTTTTCTAGTCAAGTCTTAATTTTTAAATCCCTATTATTTTTTCTTTCAAAATAGTTTATATTTAAAAGTATATAATTCTCCAAGTATAATATCTGAGCCCAAATGCCAGGTATAACTTTTTTCTTTTGGGGGAAAAATATAAGTTATTTTTTATATACATAATCTCAACAAGATACTCCTGTTTTTATATTGGGCCCATTAAAACTTATTAAGTGCTGGAAAAATGCAACACTCTCTCCCCATTGCTAACTGGAATAAAATAATTGTAAAGGCCAGGTGCAGTGGCTCACGCCTGTAATCCCAGCACTTTGGGAGGCTGAGGTGGGTGGATCACTTGAGGTCAGGTGTTCGAGACCAGCCTGGCCAATATGACGAAATCCCGTCTATACTAATAGTACAAAAATTAGCCAGGTATGGCAGTGGGTGCCTGCAATCCCAGCTACTCAGGAGGCTGAGGCAGGAGAATCACTTGAACCCTGGAGGCAGAGATTGCAGTGAGCTGAGGTCATGCCATCACACTCCAGCCTAGGCAACAAGAGTGAAACTTCACCTCAAAATAAGAAGAAGAAGAAGAAGAAGAAGAAGAAGGAAGCACTAGTGAAGAAAGGAAGTGCTGTGTGATTGCTGCTTAGTTATGACATTAGACCCATGAAATTAGTTTTAGAAACATGAAACGAGAAACTTGAGTACAATCGATGTTTATTGAGTATTCATATGCAACGCACCGTGCTAGCACTAATGCTTACAACTCTACACGAAGTAAGTGGTGTCAACCCAATTATAATAGATGAAGAAGCTGAAACACTGATTTCTCTTTTAAAATGGGAGTGGAGAATAGTTATGTAACTAACAAATGCCAACACCATGATTCAAACTCCAGATTTTTGTGACTTCACATACTTCCTAAGAAGATTCATTTCCTAGAACACATTTTTCCATCTTAAACTTTAACTCTCTCTAGCAAAGAGTTTTCATCACTTTTTTTAGAAGAGGCCTTTTAACCTTAGAGATTCCCTTACCCTGCCTTTCCTCCACAGCGAGTTGCATATTCAGCTACGATGTTGAGGAAATATGAGGACCACAGTGTAGAGTTACAGTCTAAAGCTAAAAGCCTGTTTGTTACTTGGCATCTCTTTTAGAAGATCAGTCAGTGTTGTGGCTTCCTAAATTAACTTTAGCTAGCTAGTCTAAATAGCTCCTTAGTTTTCTTCTACCTTTTGCCACAGCTAGATCTATAATATAAAACCTGTGTTTGTGTTTGTGACAGAATTAACATATTTTATCTTTTGATTTTATTACCATATTTCTGCTTACCAACAGACTCACGTTTTACGACTCAATTCGTTTTTAGGATATGAGAATGTGTGGCATTTAAGAAATACCAGTTTCAAAAATCCCCTAGTCTCCCTTCCTTTTTGAGCTTCTACCTTAGCCATTATCTGATTATTCATGTCAGATATTTTAGTTTCCACATGTTCTTTCTGTTTTTCTCACATACACCAAATCCAGAATAATGTTACTTTTTGGTTCTGTCCTATTTTCAGAATCATGAAATTCTAATGCCTATGAATGGGTATTTTGAGGGGGTGATATTTAGCTATTGCTAAATTCCTTTAAAGGGCTTATTTAAAACAACTTGCCCTTATAAAGACTGTATGGATATGTGGCATCTACTGGGAAGACATTATCGTCTACTGCCTCTGAGTCAGCTTCCCTGAGTTCACGTTCTGGATTTGCCACTTACTAGCTAGCCCTGTGGTTTTGGAACAAGTTCCTTAATTTCTCTGAGACTTAATCACCTTGTCTATAAATTGAAGAGTAGAAAAATTCACCTTATGTACAAATCAAAGAGGAGTGATCTTATAGGATTGTTGTGAGGATTCACTCCTTCATTCATTCATTAGCTCCATGGGGACTGTCTCTAAACTTGGGCTAGTGCTGGGGATGAGGCAGTGAATGAAATCAATAAGGTCTCTGGCTTTATGTAGTTAATTTCTGCTGGGGAGATACAGACAATAAACAAATAAATATTATAGATTATGGTAAGTGATATGAGGGAAATGATAGAAAGTAACATGGATGGAGACCATCTTAAATAGGGTGGCCAAAGAAGGCTTTTCTGAGCAGATAATACATAAGCTAGGACCTAAGGATGAAAAGGAGGCAGCCCTGGGAAAGATATTTCAGGCCAGGGGAGTAGTAGTTGTGAAGGCCCTGAGTTAAGAGAAAGTCTGGTGTTCTTAGAACAGAAAAAGTTGAGTGTGCCTAAGGAGTCATGCGTGAGGAGTAAAATGACAGATATTAAAGTGGGAAAAGTAGGCAGGAACCTACTTTCCCCAATTTAAATATATACAAAGCATTTATTAGAGAGCCCAGAGCATAGTAAGTGTTAGCAGGTATGGTTATCAAGATTTTTTTTTTTTGAGACAGAGTTTTGTTCTGTCACCCAGGCTAGAGCGCAGTGGCATGATCTCATCTCACTGCAACCTCTGCTTCCTGGGTTCAAGCAATTCTCTTGCCTCAGCCTCCCGAGTAGCTGGGATTACTGGCATGCAACACCACGTCATGACCGGCTGATTTCTGTATTTTTAGTAGAGACAGGGTTTCATCATTTTGGTCAGGCTGGTCTCAAACTCCTGACCTCATGATCTGCCTGCCTCTGCCTCCCAAAGTGCTGGGATTACAGGCATGAGCCATGGCACCCGGCCCATTATCATGAGTTTTAATAAACTTTGTCATAACCAAGTATTTGTCATTTTCTGTTGAGAACACTGAAAGTTCAGGGCATGTAGTGCCAGCTTTTGGCAGGATTCCTTCAGAAGTGGTGGCATGCTCTTCTGTCTGGAGGGATTTAATGTTTGGTGATCTCTTGCGATGTTAGCAGCTTTTGTGATTTGATGCCTAATCCATTAATTCATTAAGTGTTGCAAAAGGAAATATCCTAACAGTATCATTTTTTCATTTTTTAGCTGAAGTACTTAGGTAAAAACTTCATCTCTTCCTGCTTCTGCTAATGGTCACCATTCTTTTTCAGTATCATAATAAGCTTGTTAAACAAATTTGATGTGTTTAGTAATGCCAGCTAAAGTGGAAGACATCATTAAAAGCAACTATTACATCTTCCCATAAAACACCCTTTGTTACCATACTGTGTAGATTTTTTATTTGATCCTGTAGAGCCCATTCTTGTCTCATTTTGTCTTGCATTACTGGCTGATAGTGATATGATATGCAAAAGCATTTGCCTCTGTGTTAAAATGTAAACATGGCGGATATTGATTCCTCTTTTCACAGATGGAACTTTCTGCTCTACAGTCCATGATGGCTGTGCAGGAAGAAGAGCTGCAGGTGCAGGCTGCTGATATGGAGTCTCTGACCAGGAATGTACAGATTAAAGAAGATCTCATAAAGGTCTTTCAAAACTTTTTAAAGACCATTGGAAATATTCATATCACATAATACCTGTAGGGTATTATGGCATCTTCAGACAATATTTGCACACATTGAATCCTTTGGCCAGTTCTTATCAATATCCCACTTGAAATTATCAGCAGGCTATTTCAAGAACATTTGTTTCTGTGCTCCTTGGCCAAATAATCCTTTTATTACTATTTTCACGTTTACCCTTATTTTTTGACTTCTAGGACCTTCAAATGCAACTAGTTGATCCTGAAGACATACCAGCTATGGAACGCCTGACCCAGGAAGTATTACTTCTTCGGGAAAAAATTGCTACAATAGAATCCCAGGGTCAAGAAATTTCAGGAAACCGAAGACAACAGGTAAGTTATTGGACTGTAGACTATATATATATATATATATATATATATATATATATGGAGAGAGAGAGAGAGAGAGAGAGAGAGAAGGATTTTTTTTCTTTTTTAGTAGAGACAGTGTTTCACTATGTTAGGCTGGTCTTGAACTCCTGACCTCAAGTGATCCCCCCTCCTCTGCCCCTCAAAGTGCTAGAATTACATACGGGCATGAGTCAGCACATTGAGACAGGGTCTCACTGTGCCACCGAAGCGGGAGTGCAGTGGTATGATCATGGCTCACTGCAGCTTCAAACTCTGGGGCTCAAGGAGTCTTCCTGCCTCGGCCTCCTGAGTAGCTGGAGCTGCAGGTGCAAACCACCATGCCCAGCACAAACCTCATTTTTCTACTGTGAAATAAACCATGGTATTGGTTTTTCATAGATGGTATTTATTGAGAAACTGTGCTCTAAAGTTTCCTACTTTGGTCAGTAGTAGCTATAGATGCCTCTTTCTGACATGTGTGGTTCTGTAAAGAGCAGCAGTTCTTTTGGACACATACCAATAGTTATCCCTCACATTTATACATCAGTCACCTCCCTCTCAACGGAATCTTTCTCTTCTATCTGCATTTAACCATGAACAAATCTCTCCCAGTCTAAGAAAAGAGAAAGAAACCCCTGCCTTTGCCTCAGATGTCTTTGTAGCTACAGCCCCGTTTAACCTTTCTTCAATGCCAGACTTTTCCAGAAGACTTAATTGCCTGTAATCCCTGTCTCCGTTATCATCTTTCTCACTAACTACTCACCCCACTCCATTCTAGATTTTAACACTACCTTAACTGTCTGTTGGTTATACATTATCTTTATGGCACTATTACATTCACAATGACACATGTCTATGATTAATGAATGTCTTTTTCCTCTACTAGATAGTAGGCATTCCCTTAAAACCTAGAACAGAGTCTGTCCCATAGAAGGTACTCAATAAATATTTATTGAACGAATGAAGAATACTAGTAAGTCCTATTATGTATGTTTCCCTCTTGCCTGTCCTGTTTCCCTCTTATTCCTTTCTCTTAGCTGCTTTCCTGTGCTTCTAACGTCTCTCTCCTTTTTCTTCTTTTTGTTTCCTTGTTTGAATTCCACCTTACAGGGTTTTAAAGATTAACAAATAATAATAATGAATATGACATTCATTTGAAAACTATAAAATACTATCAAAAGGTTATGTACTAAGATAGTAGACTTTTTAAGTCCTATTACATGCTAATGCATTTTCTTGTTCCTCAGGATGAACTATGGCTTCATGTCTCACTGCGCCATTTGCATATTGCTTCTTCTCTCTTCTTTTCTCAGTTACTGCTGATGCTAGAAGGACTAGTAGATGAACGGAGTCGGCTCAATGAGGCCTTACAAGCAGAGAGACAGCTCTATAGCAGTCTGGTGAAGTTCCATGCCCATCCAGAGAGGTAAGAGAATGGCTATTTTTCCTTTCATTCTTTGTTGAAATTTTTATTTCTTTTACTATTGTATTCTTTTTATGCCTTTTATTCTTAAGTGCAGATGCTTATGATACTGGAGAGGGGGGAAAACAGGGACAATAACTGGGGCTCCCCACCTTGTCCTTTGTTTTGTGGATTGCTCTGAGCCTCAGTCTCAAAATCTTCAGTTGGGAGTAGTGCCTGTTTCACACAGTGACTGCAGAGATTAAACGAGAAGACAGCTTCGGGGTCCGAAACAATGCCTTGCATATAGTCAGCACTCAATGTATGTTCCTTTCCTTTTGTGATCCATGTTAAAGTCTGTTCTATTATAAAAGTAAGGCTCTGTCTCTACTGAAAATACAAAAATTCACTGGGCATGGTAGTGCACGCCTATAGTCCCAGCTACTCAGGAGGCTGAGGCAGGAGAATTCCTTGAACCTGGAGGTGGAAGTTGCAGTGAGACAAGATCGCACCACTGCACTCCAGCCTGACGACAGAGAGAGACTGTGTCTCAAAAAAAAAAAAAAAGTAAGGCTATAAAGGGCACTGATATTCATTTAATGTCACTGAAGAAGATATATTCATTGAGATGGCTGATATCACCCCAGGACCACCGATAGCCATCATGATGAATGTCTTTTCTTCTGCCTCTTGATTTTTGGTCATATATATGATACCTCTCTGGATCATTTTATATTGTCTTCTTTTTTTTCTCATTTTGCCTTCCTTTTTAGCACCTTTTACTCTTTTTCAATTTTTGTTTTTAGGTTTTTTTTTGTTTTTTTTTTCTATTCAGTTTTTCTACTTTATTGTTGGGCTTTAAAAATGTTTTCTTTCTACCAGGAAAATGAAAGCAGAGGAAAAGTATGATAGGACCAGTTGATTGTGTTACTTTTCAAAGAACCTCTAGAGCTTTGGTTTTTATGAATCAGATTCCTTTTCACACTGTCAAGTTTGGTAACAAATGAGAAGACAGATATCTTCAGTAATGGTTCTACTTGGCTGAGTCTTGCTCCAGTTTATATTTAGTTTTTCCTGCATTTTAGTTTTTCAGGAAAAAAAGCTTTTAGTCAAATAATGAGATTTCTCTTGCTTGGGCCGTAGCGGTCTGAGCTAAGTCTTAGGAGCTATAATTTCATGTGAAATTGGCCCAGAATCTAGCATAAGGGACATGCTTTTTAAAGAAGGAACAGTCCTTGATAATCTGTCAGCAGTGAACACAAATGCTGCACAAAGACTACATTCATTTATTGTGTCCTGGAGAACGATTACTTTAGAAAGTCGTGTGGCTCAAAGTGGCATTGATGGTTCTTTGGAAGCAAATGTGGACTCACTACAGTTGATGGCTAATCCATTTTCCTTCCGTATGGCATGTTTAATCAGCTCTGAAAGAGACCGAAGTCTGCAGGTGGAACTGGAAGGGGCTCAGGTGTTACGCAGTCGGCTAGAAGAAGTTCTTGGAAGAAGCCTGGAGCGCTTAAACAGGCTGGAGACCCTGGCTGCCATTGGAGGTGGGGAACTGGAAGGTGTGCGAATTCATCACAAGCATGCCTACTGAGCACTGGCGGGTCTGGCTGCAGCCCAGGATGGAAACCTTGTTTGCACTAACCAGAAAGATCCCTGTCTGACTTTGGCAGAATTAAATGGTGACTTACTAATGATAGAACTGGTACAAGTAGCGTCAACTACAAAGTGAAACTCAGTTTAGCCTACATGGATCTCACTGTACATACATATCAATCCCTAAATTGAATGTTGGAGGTTGCAAAGTGTATTTGCACATTTTAAATCATTTTGTTTTAGTTTTTCACTTTTATTCATTCTTATCCCTAGCCCCTCCTCATTCCCTCATCCCTTCTGTGGGCCAATAAAGTTTATTCCTCCCCCACTTTCACAATCCATTTCATATGTTCCATATCATGTCATAAATGCATGTGTGTGTATTATTTTTGCCATTCAGTCAACTCCTCTTTGAGTGAGAGCATTTTTTAAATCAAAAGAATATAAGTTTTAAGATGAGAGAGCAAGAAAGGGATTGAGAGTCTATAAGAGTGACTTCGCTAAAGTGATATAATCCTTATCAGAAGGTAATCAAAACCAGGAGAGTAGTCTTGTAATAGTAGACTGCATGTATTGGGAAGGCCAAGTTAAAGAACAGAGGCAAAAACTGTGAAAGTGACCGTAGTAAACTTTTACCGCTAATACTGTCTCAGACTTGATCGTTGCACACTAGTGAAATTAGATTAGGTGCAGATTAAATTCTATTTAAATTTTTTTCTTTATTGATTCCTTTGGGTTTTTTTTTTAAAACCAAGGGCATGCTGTTTCGTCAGAACATGACTTCTAGAATGGTCTTCCAGAGTCACAATTCTCTGTTTACAAAGATAATTTCAAATGTAGTATCCCTCTTTACATTCAGTGTTTCACTAAATATAACTCATTATAGCCAAAGAAGGATATTGCTTCTTCCATATGTGGCACTAGATAGGGTCCTATGTTTTCCGTTATTTAGTCTGTATACATTTCTCCATATACAAATAAGTAATAGGCTTCAGGCTTTGAAGTGCTTGAATCATTTAGAAAGAAATGTCACAGATGTATGTTTGTAGTTTTTAGTCGTGGTCTCAATGCTTTCTTGTGGCAACATCACAGATATAAGGAGAGGGGCACTGGAGATTGTATTTCTGATGTGTTGAATGTCAAGAGTGTGGAAAGTAACCAAGATTGCTTTGTAACTTTGTGGGTTCAACATCATGAATTTGTTTTTATTTCTGCTGGTGGTAAGTTTCCTAGGTTAGAAGCTGAGATTTCAGTTACTTTAAATGTGGAATTTGGGAACAGGGATTGAGACTTTTCTAGCACAATAAATGTAACTGAATACTCTTTCTAAACTAAGTAGGGCACAGTGATTTTTTTTCCTTCCATTTTTTTTTACATGACACTATTGCACATGTTGACATGGCTTCTATTACATCCTAAATTTCATCTGTTTCTGTAACTTTAGCTGTGTCTGTAACAGAGCATCAGTCAGACTAGAGTAGACAGGAAGAAAATCTTCTACTGGAGAAGCACTCTGAAATCTTGTGATTAAGTAATTTACAAAAGATTGACAGCCATAATCCTTACTCTTAATGAATCTGTCATTTCAGTTTCAATGGCTTTTGAGGAAAAAGGAGTCATTTAAGGAAGAAGATAAGAAGTATAGGCAGATCCATCCACTTTTCTTAGTCTCCCAATTTTAAGAGACCCTTTCTTGCACAAAATTTTTTTTTAACTTTCCAGAAGTAAGAATGAAAGTAGTGGAGCTGTAGAAATATCAACCTATCAAAGACGAGTTTGTCCTGTCATTACAACAAGACATTTAGGGAACGTCTTTCCTTAATTTTACTAATAGACCAAGGAAGCTGTCTGAGTCTGCAGATAAGATTCAACGCTGGGTGAATCTTGGTTTCTAATGGCTCATAGTGATTACAGTTTATGTTAATAATCACTCCTACTTCTGTCAGCCTCCAGCAAGAGTAGACCGATAGAAGGATAAATTAAAAGTCTGACTTAAATGTCATAAATGTAACTAAAATATGGTACTAACTTTTTCTGGTCTAGATAGCTGGAATGAGGCTTGCAAATAGTGCTATCTGGAGAGAGCTTGCTGGTCTAACAATTTTGTGTGATAATTTGCCATCTGATTAGAGAGCATGAGTGTGATAAATGTTCATAATCCATATATAGATCATACTGTGGTTGGACACATCATTTAGTCATATTTAACATGATATAATACTCCATTTTCTCTTCAGGTGCACGGACTCTTTCTCCTACTGGGTTATTCTGCCTTTGCTAGTCATTTTTCAACATTACAGTAATTTTAGATAAAGCATCGTGCGCCTATAGAACCTTGTACTTGAAAAAATAATCTTCATATAAAAATAATGAAGTAAATTTTTACTTAGGTCATGTTTAATTGGAAGCATAGAACTTAAATTGAGAAAAAAAATCTTATTATAGATTCTGTTTTTCTCTTGTTTCCTTTAATAGCAAATAATGCAGAGTAATGGTTGTAAGAGTTCAGAGTAGATGAAGTCTGTAGGTTTCGGAACTATAAAGTTGAAAAGAACCTCCAAGAGGACTGATTTAATGAATGAAATGGACGTCCTTAGACAGATGCTATCCCTAAACTGTTCTCTATTGAAAGTTTTTTTAAATTTTTTTTTTATTTTTATTTATTTTTATTTTTATTTTTTTTTTTTGAGACTGAGTTTCGCTCTTGTTACCCAGGCTGGAGTGCAATGGCGCGATCTCGGCTCACCGCAACCTCCGCCCCCTGGGTTCAGGCAATTCTCCTGCCTCAGCCTCCTGAGTAGCTGGGGTAGCTGGGATTACATAAACGTGCCACCATGCCCAGCTAACTTTTTTTGTATTTTTAGTAGAGACGGGGTTTCACCATATTGACCAGGATGGTCTCGATCTCTCGACCTCGTGATCCACCCGCCTCGGCCTCCCAAAGTGCTGGGATTACAGGCTTGAGCCACCGCGCCCGGCCTTTTTTTTTTAATTGTACTTTAAGTTCTGGGGTACATGTGCAGATCTTGCAGTATTGTTGCATATGTACATACGCCATGGTGGTTTGCTGCCTCCATCCCCCCATCACCTACATCAGGCATTTCTCCCTATGTTATCCCTCCCCAACCTCCCTGCCCCCTGCTGTCCCTCAGTACTGAAATTTGATGATTATTAGTACCTAGTATAAGTCAACATTTGCCTGATGTTCTCTTTTCAGATAGCCAAGTTATAGCTTTTTTGAAAAGACATTATTGGGCTATGTTAGTATGTCAGGGTTTTCCTTTGATAGTGTGTTCTCTTACCTGTCACCCAACCCTCTCCACACCCTTTTCTCTTCATTCAGTTGTGGACAGCAGTAATATTTTTAGTACCTTTGCTTCTTAGGGGAATTACATTTTTCCTTATTTATATTTTTAAAAGATATTTCTGTTAAATTATTTATAGCAAGAGATCTATTAAGGATCCAGAAAATCTTAATCTGTATAGGATATTATTTCCTAACCAAACGAATTAGTTTCCTTGAGGGTTCTTTAGTATAAACACAGTTATTCATAAGTAAACTGTGTGGCAAATATGTATAAAAGACCTATCATTTTTGGTGCTCATTTATCTTCCTAATTCAGTGTCTGGGTCATGACATATTTGGCTTATCGCTTCAAAAACAGTTCAAGAAAACTGATTTCCGTTCTCTCTACATTGATCTTCCAGTTGGATCTGGAGTCTCCTGATTGTGGAAAGGAGGAGCAGATCACATTATACTGAACATTGTCCCTCTCATTGAGAAATAAAGGTTTGACTGAGCTACCTAAAGTCACTTTCCTTTGGATTATAAACCTTAGAGAGAACAATAATTTAATAACTTTTTCCTTTCTTGAGGTAGTATTAGAAAACTCTAGTTCCCATTGATAGGATAAACTTGTTTTCTTGTTTCGTGGTCTTTTTGTGTGAAATAATGACAGAATTTTGACATCTGGCATCCCTGAAAAGCTCACGTGGCCTTTTCAAATAGGGCCTCGTATAGTGTTCTGCAGGTTTACAGTCCGTATCCTGCAAGGCAAGGTGACAAACTTCCTGTGAAGTTAGGAAGAAGTATTAGTAACCCACACACTTAATGTCCATCTTCCATTTTACCTTGTAGAAGTTGAACTAGAGATAGAACAAATTAAATTCATTTTCTTTTCTAGATATATCCTGTGAGATACAAGCACAGAGAATTTTAGTTCTCTTAGGGTTAAAGCTCAGTGAGCTTTGCTTTTCTCTTTGGTAGCTTGGAACCATTTGTACCATAGAAAGAATAGCTGGAAATATGCAACTTGAATATGGCAAAACAGTAATAAACATAGAATGAGTCAATAGGATAATATATTGGAGTGATTTCTGTAGGGTAATAATTTCAGTTTTAATGTGTTTTAGAATGTGGATTTAAGCCACTTTCTCACCATTTACACCAGTAGCTTTGTTAAAACTTTATTATGATCAAGTAACAAGCCTGTTGCTTTTAAGTAGTCTAAGCGCTAACAGAAGGTAAGTCTTTGACTTCTTCCTGTATAATCACCTGAGCCAAGATGAGTTTTCTTAAAAAAGAAAAAAAAAAAAAAAAAAGGCGTTGTAATTTGCCTCCAACAAAGAATGGGAAATGGAAGGAAGCACAGAACTGTGGTCCTGACAATACTAATTCTACCAGGTTCCAAATAAGAGTAATTAAACTTACATGGTGATATACTGACTATTTTTGTGTTACTCTCCCTTTTTGTTGCTTAAAGTCAAATTCCAGAAGTAAAAATCTTTATCATACTGTTTTCCTCTTACTAAAACTGGAAGGGTAATATAGAAGGTTCAGCAACATCAGAAAATGTGTTATTTAAAATAATATGAAGAATAGGGGTTTTAAGTACATAAACCAAATTGGCTTCCTTGTTTTACTTTATAACAAGAATATGCAGTACTTCTT